TAGAGCATCATGCAAACTCTAAATCCTAAAATCTACTTAAAGTTGAATTTTTATTAGTAGTAGTGGTGGTAGTAATAATAATAATAATAATAAATATCTACTTCATACTATTACATTTGTATTTCTGTGATCATTTCCGTCACATTTAAAAAAAATCTAAAACAATTAACTTCATGACGGTGACACGTCTGTAACGTTTTCTGCTGATATCCCTCCAGACATTAGCATACGGGGACATGAATCACGAGTGGATAGGAAACGAGTGGCTGCCCAGCCTTGGCCTGCCCCAGTACCGCTCCTACTTCATGGAGTGCCTGGTCGACGCGCGCATGCTGGACCATCTGACCAAAAAGGACCTGAGAAGCCATCTGAAGATGGTGGACAGCTTTCACAGGTCTGCAGCTGTGATGCTCAGCTGTAGCATCTGAGCTGAACCTGCTCTACCTTTCGTCTGATGACTTGATGCGTGAGCTGCAGAGATGGAAAGGATACTGATTCATTGTGTGTGTGTGTGTGTGTGTGTGTGTGTGTGTGTGTGTGTGTGTGTGTGTGTGTGCGCTTTTTATGTGCCCCAGGGCTAGTCTGCAGTATGGAATTATGTGCTTGAAGAGACTCAATTATGACAGGAAAGAGCTGGACCGACGGAGAGAAGACAGTCAACACGATATGAAAGGTACCGTTTACACACAGTCATCCTCATGTGTAACACACACACACGCATCCATGCATGCATGAATGAATAGGCTCTACTGTTTAATCAGGAAAAGTGGGATTTTTTCTGGAGAACCGTCTTGTGGTTTCATCCGATAGTGTCAATTTGTGCTTGGCACTATAACAGGTGCTCCTCAAACTGTCAAGAAGCCAGTCTTGTGATCTAAAGCCCCACTTGCGTGTGGAGTGCCCCACACACACGCTGGCGCACACATTTAAATCTAGCCGTCCCTCTCGCCCTTTTGACCTTGAGCTCAACGCATGAACTTGACTCAGCTGTCGCTTCGTATCACAGTCCAACTCTGTTTGCGTGCACATAAACACTCGCGTACACACACACACACACGCGCATGCACACACACGTTGCGCCTGTTCCAACTTGGAAAGCTGGCTGACAGCTGTGCTTCAAGTGAACAAAGGGAGTGTGCCAGAGAGTTGACGCCATGCGGACATGCACATTACCTCTTTCACTAAACGCCTCTATTTGCTGTTTATGAGGCATATTTGGTGAAAGTGTTTATTTAACGCTGTTCCACCGCTCCGCTTTTGATTTCAGACGTTTTGGTGTGGACCAACGAACAGGTGATCCACTGGGTCCAGTCCATCGGTCTGAGGGAGTACAGCGGCAACCTGCTGGAGAGCGGAGTTCATGGGGCGCTCGTCGCTCTCGATGAGACCTTCGATTACAGCAGCCTAGCGCTCATCCTGCAGATCCCCATGCAAAACACGCAGGTGGTTATACAGGAAACAGCCGCGTACGGATTACGTGTGTGATCCCATTTAATTTGTTACTTCTGCTTCGTCTGCTGTTACATGGAGTAAAGTTTTAAATGAACAGGTCAGGAGCTACGAAGTGAAATTCTGTACAAGCAGCTCATAATTTATTACGAAGTTAATAAAAGTTAATCTCTTAGCATCTTAATTTAATGTAAATCTATATTAACTGGACCGTGAGGGGGGTTTTTTTGTTTGTTTTTTTTTAAACTTCAAGCCATTGTCAAATTTTAATTGAACTGTTATATACAGAGAAGAATATGAGTGTACTGTACACTGGCTTTTTTATATTTATAGCATTATCTGATTCAGGTGAGAAAATAACTGCTTCTAACCTCTAAAATTAAAATTAAAGAATCTTGAACTATTCCTTTAACATGTCCACATTTATAGCTAATAGAAAACTCCCCCAAAAACACAACCATTTGATACACTATTTCACTTCCTGTTTTGCACTACTGGAATATATAGCAGCGTTATTAGTGTAGTAATTGGGAAAAATCACTGTATGTCAGGCAGTATTAACATTATGCTTGATCAAGGTTTCAATGAATTCTGTGTTTTTCAGGCAAGGCAGGTTCTAGAGAGGGAGTTTAACAACCTTCTAGCTTTGGGAACAGACCGCCGACTGGAGGAGGTGACTTTTTTTTATAGTCTGTTTGGTGGTGATTGTTTTTACTTAAGCTGTGCTATGTTTTACGATGAACTTTTTCTCTCTGTTGCATCCTCAGATGATAGTTTAGTGTTTTCCTCTTTATAAACAACACACTTTTCCTCTCAGAGTGGAGATGACAAGTCATTTCGGCGCTCACCCTCGTGGCGCAAGAGGTTCCGGGCTCGTGAGGGAGGGATGGGTCTGGGGATGATGGCAGGCTCCATGGAGACGCTACCTGCCGGCTTCCGCATGCCCGCTATGTCAATGCCGCCATCCATGAATTTGGCTGCCAAGAAGCAACTTCAGCCTGAAGGTTTGTTACAGTGCTAGCAGCCACGTTCACTCCGGAGCTGCTCTCTGGTTAGACCGACTGACTAACCGCATGTTGTGTCCTTTGTGTCGTGCCGTGCTCAACACCTACTTTGCCACGCCTTCTTAAGCTCCTCCTCCTGCGCCTCCGAGACTTGACCCCTCTGCAGTGCGGACCTACTCCTGCTAACGACACTCTACTTATTAACAGGAGCACTAGTGCTAACGGGTAAGTTTGTTGTGTTTTCTAGCTGAAAGTGTCTGTTGGTGGACTGTCATAGGGAGCTGACTTAACCCTTTCATGCATGGTGGTCACTACAGTGGACGGCTGTCTAAAAGCCATTTTCTTGTGCTTCTTGTGGATTTTTATGTTATAAATTCACACAGACCACTGAAGTGGACTCTAATGCATCATAAAATACACTTTCAACTACTGGCTATCAGCTGCAAATGCAAGAAATTATTTTTGTTAAATCCAATATGGCCGACCGACCCGGTCCCTCCTTCTACTGTAGATGATTCTTGCAGGTAAAAAAAATATTGTTACATCAGATAATCCCTAAAGAACAATTAAAAAAAATTAAATTCATTTTATTTATTTATTTATTTTACAAAAAATTTTTCCTACTTTTTTTTATGCCCTAAGAAAATAAAAAAAAATGGGGAAAAAATCCTGACACAAAGGATCATAATTCATGCGTGAAAGGGTTAACATATGTCTAGAGGACTGTCAGTGATACCCTCTACTGAGAGGCTAGTAAAAAAAAAAAAGACATTTACTAAAATATTTTTACTAAAATAATCCTACAACAAACTCATAAGTGTTAGTAAAAATCTAAAAGTAGGCAGCAGCAGCATTTTTTCCAGGATAGATTTTGAAACGCCTTCAGAAAGCCTGAGTTAATATGAGTCTTCACGGAAACAAAGTACGAACAGGCATGAATAAATACGAAATAATTGAAATATCTGCACAGTGCTGTCCTCGGTATTAAAGTCTTCATTTTCCTTTCCTTTCTTTCACACCGCCATCCTGTCTCTGACTCTCTCTTCCAGTGCATTCTCATTACTTGTACGGACACATGCTTGCGGCCTTTTGAGAGTGATATGCCAAATCTGGAGAGGGAAGGATTGGGTGCGCCAGGAGGTGTGGGGGGGGAGTCTTCTCCCCTCTCACGCCCAGCCTCTCCTCCCACCTTCTACATCTTTCTCTCCTCCCCCCCTCCCGGACTCGTGCAATACAGGGGGGCACCTCTGACCTTTGCTCTCCGAGAGCGCTCGTTGGCTGCTTTCCACTGCTGCTGTAAAGGAGGCTCGTCCCGGTCTCGCCTTGTTTACCCCAGTGCTCCCAGTAGCCTCGTTGTTGTGGTGTCGTGTTCCTGCTCTCCTTGTCTCAGCTGTGGGGTCTAGTCCTGGTTCTGATCGTCCTGAAAACGGCCAAGACCAAACGAATCTTCCTGTGTTGACACGACAGTCGTGAAAAAGATAAGATTTGAGGAGATGACGAACAAGTCGTTGCTTCGGACTCAAGAGTGATGAATACTTGTATAAGTGGCAGACCACTCTGCACATTAACCTTCTACCGGTTATGCAAGGTATTACTCATTTATCATCTCTGTACAGAAAAATGGATGACTTATGTTTTTTATAGAAATATTATATATATAATATATATATATATATATATACACATATATATATATATTGGAAATATATATGGAAAGTAATATAATATTGCTGTTTGAAACCCAATGCCCTGTATTCAATAGTGACTGTTCTCTTTCTCCTCCTTTCCCTTTCTCTCTGTGTTGGACCTTTGCGTGTCGTTTGCTGTGCGCTGTGTGTGATTTATTGGTGGGAGGGACTCACTGAAAGAAGTGTGTGTTTTTACAAGGACTCCTCACAGGTTCATGGGTCCAATTCTCTCTTCTTCTTCTTCTTCTTTTTCTTCTTCTTCTTCTTCTCCTCCTCTTCTTCTGTCCCCCCCACCAAACCTTTTGACACGATGTAGCTGTAATTTCTCTTCCTCTCTTCGCCTCTGTCGCCTTCTGTATGACACTATGTAGCCTAGAGAGAGAAATTTAATGTGAGGCATGAATATGGAGTGTGTGTGTGAATGAGAGAGAGAGAGAGATTGAGCAAATCAGCCTATCTCCTGGAGACTTGTAAAGGGGTCGAGTGTACTTGTGGGTGTCCGTGTGTTTGCGTGTGTCCGTGTGTGTGTGTGTGTGTTGTGTGTGTATGTGTGTGTGTGTGTGTGTTTGTGCGTGCGTGCGTGCGTGCGTGCGTGCGTGTGTGTGTGTGTGTGTGTGTGAAAGGCCGACCCTAACCACGTGACTTTGACTCTTTGTGTGTGTGAATTTTAGTGTGGACACTGTAGCTCACTTCTGTCAATTCCAAACTTTCTCTCATGTCAAACAATAAATTGCTGCTCAGCATCAGTCAGTGACTTGCGCTGCTCTGCACTGGCCTTCAAAAGCATCCATAGCCCTTAAAATATTTGAAATTTTGTCATGTTACAGTCGCAAAATAAATGTTTTGTTTGTTCTTTTGTTTTTTGTTTTTTTGTTTTGTTTTTTTACCAGGATTTTATGCAACGTATGAACTTGAACTAGCACAAAATTGTGTAGTGACAGAACAAGGATTTGTGGTTTTCAAAATATTTCACAGAAGAAAGTCTGAAAAGTGTGGCATGCATTTTTATTTCACCCTTACTTGGGATTCTTGGCTGTTTCTCTGATTAATTCCCTCTCCAGCGTGGCCCTTTCAGTTTAGCCATGCCAGTGTGTTTGCAGTTGAGATTTTTCTTTAAGCATCTCCACAAATTTCATCTCTGATCCGTCTGTTGTGGATCTAAATCAAAATGCGTGCCACGCTTTTAAGGTTTTTATTATAGTACACATGACTTCAAATTGATAAAATATGCTGACAGTTTTATTTGTAATGTGAGAAAATGTGAAAAGCTTAAGGGGTTATGATTACTTTTGTAAGACAGTGTAACTGACAGACATGTCTTATCCTGCTCTACCACCTCATGGTCAGTTTTTGTGAAGAAATGCCAGTAGGTGGTCCATACACCCAGCTGACCAATTCCTCCAATGAGAACACAGCATATGAACTCATGAACTCCTGGATGGCTGTACAATCTTTTTTCATTATTATTATTATTATTTTTACAGATTTTTCCAAGGTGTCTAAAAGGTGTGTAATGTGCTATGTGGCAGCTATGAGTACTGTGTCTTTATTCCAGGTGTGAAACAATGCTGACAAATCAAGATTTTATTATTTGGCCATCTGAAAAAAAAAAGTACTGTATTTATGACACTATATAGACATGAGTAAAGCTGTTTTTTAAAGAATTGTGACTCTGCTCCTTCCTGAAGTGCTCAGCACTTTAAAGCCACAAAACAGCTTATTGAAAACCATCTTTATTCCAAGAATTAAAACAGAACAATATCACTTTTCAGAACATCTACAAATACACAACAATCTTAGTTATAAAAGTCAAAAAATAAGTTAGCAAAGATAAAAAATAAAATGGCAAAACCACTCTGTAGAAAAAAAAAGGGGAACGTATTTACAACAAAAGCATTTATAACCTGTTTAAATTAAGCAGATCTTGGTCAAAACTGCCATGGTACATATTGGCCCCACAAATAAATTCATGTATTTTATTATTTTTTTAAGCATTAAACTCACACAAAAAGAATCAAAGATACGGAGGAAAACTTAAATTAAGTTAGAACAATACAATCCATCTGTGAGTCTGGAGGAAGGTTTAACAGAGATTCACTCAGATGACTAGGATTTTGGGTTCATGCAGCAAAATCTTTGAATCTCAAGTTAGACTGAGCATCTGTAGCTCTGACAAACAGGACTGGACCACAGGATAAGGCATGTAATACAGGGAATAAGGCCTCATTGTAAAAGAAGGAATTCAGTTTAGCCAGTAGACCCAGTAGAGTTGCGATGACAATTCATTAATTCGGATTTTTGATCGTTTGCATAAGACAGAAAACCAAAGTTTGTAGATTCACTAAAACAAAATAAGTACTCCAGTCAAACGGCATCACCGATTAGCTATTTTTCCTCTATAATTTTACGGATCTCTGTGCATCTACATCTGTTTTGAAAGGTCTATTTGGGAATGTCTACAGGAAAGGCCACGGCTCCGTCTGAAGCAGAGATGCTGTCCACAATGGAAGTCAAGGCCTGCATGTTTCCCTGCTCAGGGGATTCAGCAGCACTCAGGAGATCTGAAGGAAGAGAGACAAGAGAGAGAGAGAGGCCAAATCACACAGTCAGTACCTTCGGCAAAGCACTAATCTGTTTGCGGGATCCGGTGAAGGTTCATATTCGTCCGCGCTCACCCTCACCGCTGTAGCTCGGCGGACACTGCTCCGGAGTGCTGCTCCACTCGGGGCTGCTGCAGCAGGTGCTCCCCGAACTGGGCTCGCTGGACGACGACACCTGTTAGCACAAAGACACGCATGCAGAAGTTGCTGTCAGTCACTTACAATGCAAAACTGCACACAAAAAATCCAGCGCAAAAGATTGATGTTTTCGAAACCTGCCGTGTTAGTTTGAGAAGTGCATATTTGACTAAAACATAAGCCTGTTAATTTAGAAAAAATTAACATCTGACACCCAAAAATCACCCACTTTATTATAATTTTTTTTTTTTTTTTATCCTACAGCTTGTTTTCCTCACTTCCCAACAACTTCTCAGCCACTTTTCTCCACATTCGCCTGTCATCTTGGCTCTCTTTATCCCTCTCCTGTTGTACTCACTCTGGGCTGGGTCGGGGTGGGTCGATAGTGCAGTCCCTGCTGTCCCGTCTCAGTGTCCTGCTGGTTGAGAGAGGACACCAGAGCTTGTAGCCGTTCGATGTACTGTATGGCGCTCCGCAAGATCTCCACTTTGGGCAGCCTCTGGTTGGGGTTCATCAAGGTGCTCCTCTTCAGAGCATCGAAGGCCTCGTTTACCTTCTTCAGGCGTCTCTTCTCCCTCAGCGTTGCTGCTCTCCGGCGATCCATGGTCACAGTCTTTCTTTTGCACAGCTTACAGGCCCAGGGCAGGCACTGACCGGGGCAGTGGGTCTCAGAATGAGGTGACAGGCTGGAGGGAGACGCTTTATCCTCAGTACTTGCGACACCGACGCTGGCACCTCCAGCAAGACTCCCACACAGGCCCATCATGGAGTTTCTGTCCTGGTAACCAGCTTGGTCGTAGGTCCCAGGTAGGCGAGAGGGGAAGTAGCTGTCCCCTCCTTCATAAAATCGCTGATCAGGAAAGAAGTATGGGTTGGTCTCAAAGAGCTCCATATTGGCCCGTGTTGTGCTCGAGATGTAGAGAGGGCAACAATCCCTGCTTCGTTTGTCGCTGCTCTTCAATGAGTGGTCTTCGTTCTTGCCTCTGGGATGTGTGTTGGACTGTACGCGTGTGCGCTGTCTTCCCCTTGGCCTGAGTTTGCGATGAGTGGAAGACGTGTGGTGAACAACTGGTGTGGAGCAACTGTAGGCTGGCATTTAAACCCCTCTGCCTTCTGCAGGATCACAGGGTTAAATTTAGCACGAGCCCCCAGAAACCTGACACGATGGTTAGCTGTTGCTGCACATCTACACTTCACATCTCTTTTGGGCCGTGCTCTCTAGGGCTTTAAGGCCCATTCATGTGTTTCAGTGTGTGGGTTTGAGCACTTGCTTTTGCGTGCGTGCGTGTGCGCCAAGAAGCCACAGCGCGATCGAGTTGCCGTGGAAATGGAAGAGATAACCTCAGATCAAAGATGTTGGCCTTAATAAGTTAATCCCGGACTTGCGTTCTTCTCCATGACGCGGGACAAAAAGACGCTTTTCCACGGGGGCGGGGGTTGCCAATGTGGTAGGAAGAGTCTTGACGCAGCTGCCACCTCTACTAGGATCGAATCATTTGTAGTGTCGAGAAGATGTTTGTGACCAGAGATAGTTGCTTACTCAAAACTAGGTCGCAAAGGCAAATGTCAGGTTCACGATGAACATCCGTGGATGTGTAAACATGGTGGCATTACAGGGAGAGTAATTTTTTTGAATGAGGTTCTACGAAAAGGCTGTAAAAAGGTTGTTATAGGTAATATGTTACCTGTAAGAAATAACCTTGTTGGCGTCTTCATTTTGTATAAAGTCAGATTGGTTGTTCTTAGAGGCTCGAGCAAACAGCTATTCTGATAAAAGCATATTTTCATGGTTACAACACTGATGAGTATTTTATGAATGTTGTCACTTTTGCAGTGGGGACTTTTGCACACACAAGATGTCGATTACTTGCACATGAAATGGGGTTTGAAGGGTTTGCGCCACTAGCTATTTTCCAGTAAGAAATGTGTAAAATATTTCCATTCAGAGAAATAATTTGACAGAGAAATGAAAGTTGTGAGAATGGCAAAATATTAAACTGTTTTATGAGTGTTAACTGTGCCCTACTACTTTATTTGGTAGTTATTTTTGACTGCAGAAGCTTCAGATGTGACTGTGTTAATTTGTGCTTCATACAGGAAGATCACTGGTGGAGCACTGCTTCCTGCCAACATTTCCCCGAGTAATGACAATCAGATTATGTGTAAATTACAGACCAATCCTAAAGTCGGTTCAGTTTGAAATGAAATTTTTTTCACAGCCATCCTTTTAAATTAGTTACTTACTCCAACTGGAATTACATGTGACGTTCTATTTATGTATTTGACACAGGAAGATCATTGTTACCTTTACTTCAAGGGCTTTAATCTTTATAATCTGTGTAAATATTATAAAAGAGCACTTGCAAACACCACTATGACATCAACAGATATTTGGACTGTAGGCGAGATAATAACATTTCATCAAAAAGTCACTTAAAACATCCAGATTCGTTTGTCCTGCAGACTGAAGCTAACAGGTTGTCTGAAAGGGACCAGGACCAAGATGTACTTCTGACATCTTAAAAGTAAAATATCATTCCGGTTTCTCTGTTAAAAATGGAGGTGGTGCCACATTAATGATCCCCATTTGTAAAACATATAGTCAGAATGGAACATGTAAAACATTTCTGGTCCGAGTAACCAGAGTAAAAATAAAGCTGTGTAAAAAGGCAGTGATGCTATGTTTGGGAACCCTATTTTATTGATTTTTAAATTATCTTTATTTTGATTTGCTTTAGTTGTTCTCTTAGTGTTTCACACAGGAAAATAATTGATGTTTTTCTGGGAATCTCAATTTCCCGATAAAACAATCATCTCTTCCCAGAGAAATAATCTGTCTGCTGCAAATGTGATGAATATCTAAAGGTTTGTAATGACATTCTTAAGATTAGAGTTATTTTAAGATGGTACAGTTTCAATTTGGTCGCAGCCCTTCTGGCGCAAGCCTTTAGTTTCATCCTCAAGGACTAATGAATATGGATTTATACTTAATAAGGAAGCCGTGAGAGCCATCTACTGCAGGTGAGCTATAAAATGCTTATAAAATTTGACAGAACCTTACTTCAAAAATCCTGAACTATGCCTTTGAAGCTCATTACATTGTTGTTGGGTTTCATATTCTTTTATTTTCCTCCCAAGAGGATTGCACAATGTGATGCAAGAAGTGTCACTTCTGAGCTCTGTATATAGCAAGTCTGGACAAGCATGAACAGAGAAGTTTAGTACCAAAATTACTCTGGCTCAATTTACTCTTTGAAATAAAGGGGTAATAATGAGACCACTGTGCAGAGGAAATGGCTTTGGCTCGCCTGACCTCTTCCAGTCAGTCATAGTTTTAGCTCAGCCAGCAGGTGTTAATCCACCCAGAACGCGTCTTACCTCATAGCTCAGCAGCTAATTCTGACTGGCTTCCGTTAGCATGGAAGCATAGCCAAAACACACACTTCCAGCAGCGGAGAAGCCGCAACGGAATGACAGACACAATTCAAGATGTGCTACATCCCTGCGTATCTCGTATCACTGTCGTAGATTTATCACTGTAACACTTATAGCTAACAGGAAATGCTTGCCGGTGGCAGAAGAACTTGGATGCGGTATTTTGTAGCAGCCCCATGCAAACTCTTTGGTGGCAAATTGAGTGAGGTACATTGAACCAATTGGCCTTTCTCAAAAATTCTTACATTTTAGTGACGCATTAATTGGGCATGAATGGAAAAAAAAACTTACAGAAACTGTAAAATTATAAATGATTTTTTTTTTTTCTAAGAACCAACAATACAATACACCACATATTAATCAGTGGTGAAAGTTGTGGTAAATATAAAGTGCAAATATTTACATAGCGATTAGTTTTAGGATGATTTTTAAATATTTTACAATTTTACAATCATTGGTTAACTTCACAAACATTTCTTTGGAGAACGAAAGGAAATAAATTCATATCCACGAATGACATGGAAACCTAAGACAGAAATAGGCACAACTAAGACTCTACTTATATTACGCTCTCACCTAAAATTGCCCAGCTTAAAAATCAGTGCATGTTTCAAGGGAGCACAGGTAGTTTTTTTTAATTGTTTATATATATATATATATATATATATATATATATATATATATATATATATATATATATATATATATATATATATATATATATATATGCATGTATGCATCGATTATTTCAGCAAGTGAAAACCAAAGTTTATTCTCAGCATTTCAAGTTAGGATGGCATTCAAAGAGATTGCTCCCTTATACGACCTCCCTGCAGAGCACACCTAGAAAACATGCATCGCGTTATGTAACGAGAAACATGACAAAAATGATGCTCTGATCTCTCGAGCAGCTGGAATCCTCTATCAGGTGAGAAAGGGGGCATATTTAACTTTTAAAAGTACAACAGTACAACAAAGGTCTCCAACACGGTGCTACTAAAGTTAGAGCAGAAGGAAGTGCCAAACATGGATCAGTTAATATTTTGTTTTTCATTTAAAATGTGCACACAAAAAAATAGAAATTCTGTTGTACCTGTGGAAAAAATAGGTAAAATTTGACATACATTCCTGCCTGTTTTTGTTTGTTTCTCCTTCCTGACCCATCTCTGTAAATTCTTGATCCTCCAAAAAAAAAAAAAAAAAAAAAAAAAAAATAAAAAAAAAAAAAAACCCAAAACCCATTTAAGTTTTTTA